GACTCAGAGCTGCCTCCCAGGGAATCTACCTCTTCAGGGACAGTCCTTTCCTGGGTTCACCCAGAGGTGAGCTCTCCCTTGGAAGGTAGGAGGAAAGAAATGCCACCATGTGCAACTGTGGCTCGGGAGAAACTAGAACCAATGGATGCTTGTTCTCTAGGCAGAGAGAGAACTGAGCCACTTGAGGTCGGCACTCACAGGGCACCGTCTCCTGGTTTTGCATCTGAATTAGGATGCATCTGATTGGCAGAGCAGCTTTAAGGAGCTTAAGAAACAACAGAGACCCCCTGTCTTCCTGTTGTTGGTATCCAGTCTCCTCACCTAGCACCACTTTGTAGTCAAAGTTGATTTTTAAAAATATCATTTCTCTTTTCGTGGTTTATCAGAAGATTTTCCTAACACTCTGCTCCTAAAGAATAAAAAACCAAAACCAAAAACAAAAAAAAACCTCTCCCTTCAAAAGAAGTGTACAGCTTTGTGTTTCCAATTTGTTTATGATGCTTCCTAACTGGTATCCTCATCCTTAACAAGGAACATTCTCAGTCTGTACTGGTCAAAGTCCACTCCAGGTAGAGTTCTTCAAATCATTTGTGGTCAACAATGAAAGAAAACATTAAAAAGTGAATACCAGGTGTTCAGGCTACTGAGTGTTGATTAAGAAGGAAAAGATCATCATTTTCACAAATCAGACATGGGCCTGGCAAGAAAAGAGAAACAAAAGGCAGAGATTGTTTATCAGTTCATTTATTTAACAAATATCTATTGGGAGCCCCTTTTTGTCCAATATTGTTCGGTGAGCAAATGGAGACACAAGACACATGGTCCTCCCAACATCAAGCTTCCGTCTAAGGGGAGACAGTAAGACATCTAACACACAACCTCTATTGCAACACGTTTCCTGTTAGGAACCCTCAGATGCCCTCAGAGCCTGGGCAGGTGACCCCTCCAGCACTGGTGTCCGGGATCAGTGCTGGAGAGAGGTATTATGGAAGAGTTCTCCGGGGAGCATAGGCCAGAGGGCTTAGTAGGAGTAAGCTGGGTGCCAGACTAGGATGGGCAGACAGTTCTGCAAAGTCCTAGAACTCGGAAGTAGCTTAAAAGATTCTGGGGCAATTGAGGAGGCTATTGCGGCTAATGCCTTATGAGAAAGAAGGCAGTTATTATGCAAGGACTTATGGACCACTGCATGGATTTAAATCCTTTCTCTTCTGTTTTAATTATCCAGATCCATGAATTTCATTTTGGCAGATTCTTACATATGTACTTTGATAATTTCTCCCCCAAGTATCCCCCTCGCCCTGCCCTCCCCCTTGCCCTTGTTCCCTTCCTCTTCTCAATTAATCCTCTGTTGAAGAGTAGCTGGTAAATATTCTCCATTCTGTAGACTGTCTCCTCACTGTGTTAATTATTTCCCTTGCCGGAGAGAATTTTCTTTTCTTTTTGGTACCAGGGATTGAACTTGGGTTCTTGCACTTGCAAGGCAGGTGGCAATTCCCCAGCCCTGGCAGAAATTTCTTAATGTGATGTAGTCCCATTTGTCAATCCTTCTATTATTTCTTGTGCTACAGACATCTCATTGTGGGAGTCTTAAAGTATTTGCCCTATTTTTTTCCCAGTGGTTAGGGTTTATACTAGTCTTTCTCTTCTGTGAAGTCCTTTTTGTACAGGATGAGAGACAGGGATCCTTTCAATCTGGTGCATATGAATGTCCAGTTTTCCCAGGAACATTTGTTAAAGAGGCTGTCATGCTAGATGTGGTGGCGCATGCCTGTAATCCCAGCACTCAGGAGGCTGAGGCAGGAGGATCACTGTGAGTTCAAGACCAGCCTGGGCTGCATAGTGAGTTCCAGGTCAGTCTCAACTATATAGTGAGACCCTGTCTCAAAAAACAAAACAAAGAGGCTGTCATTTCTCTGACACGTTTTTGGCCCTTTTGTCAAGAATCAGATGGCAGTAGTATTTTTTTATTGTTGTTTCTGCATTCTCTTAAATTGTTTTATGTGTCTACTTTTATGCTAGGACATTTTTGTTTATATGGTTGTATATTCTGATAGCTCCAGCCTTGCTCTTTTTGCTCAGAATTTCTTTCACTATTCTGTGTCCTTTGTGTTTCTATATGAACTTTAGGCTTTTTTTGAGTTCTGTGAAGACCTTCATTGGCATTTTGAAGGAGCTATCATTGAATTTTCAGAAATGTAGCAATGTTATCAACACTAATTCTGCTGACCCATGATTATGGGAGTTCTCCCCATCTTCTAGTGCTTGCTCTGATTTCTTTCTTCAGTGTTCTGTAATTTTCATTATACAGGGCTTAGGGTCTTTTATCACCCTGGTTATGTTTATTCTCAGGTAATTTCTTTGTTTTTTTAAAAAAAGCTATTGCAAATGGATGTTTTTCTTGATTTCTCAGTGATTCATGTAGAGAAAAGCTTGAAAAAGATTTTTGTAAGTTGTATCCTGCTACTTCGTTGAATTATTTTTATCAGATAAAAGTCTTCTGGAATTTGTGGAAATTTCTGGAAGTCTTGTGGGTTTTGTATGATCTAAGTAAAGCATCATATTATCTGCAAACAGGGATAGTTTGACAGTTTGACTTCTTCCTTTTGTTGACAAACTTTTTTGGGGGGAGTACCAGGGATTGAACTCATGTCCTTGTTCTTACAAGGCTGGTGGCAGAACCACTGAGCTAAATCCCTGGCCCCTGACTTCTTCCTTTTGTATTTGCCTCCCTTTAATTATTTTCTTTTAATTTCTCTACCTAAAATTTCAACTATCATTAAAAAAAAAAAAAAAGAAGTAATAGACCTGGGGATCTAGCTCAATAGTGCCACCACCTGCCTCGCAAGCACAAGTTCCCAAGTTTGACACCCCCCTCCCATAAAAAAAGTGACAGTGGACACTGTCATTTTGTTCTGTATTTTAGAGTAAAATCTTTTAGCTTTCCTCCATTCAGTATGATGTTAACTGTGAGTTTGTCATATACGGCTCTTATTATATAGAGTAAAACCCTCATAAAATTAGTTCCTTCAGGGGTTGTATCATTGAGGGTGGTCAAATTTTGCTGAAGGCTTTTTCTGCCTCTGTGGTGATGAACATGTGATTTTTTTTTGGTGGGGGTGGGTGCTGGGGATCAAACTCAGGACCTCAGTACCTCAGGAACTCAGGACCTGAGCTAAACCCCCAGCCTGAACATGTGATTCTCTTTATGTAATGTATCACTTTTATTATTTGCAGTGTTGAATCAGCAAGGATTGAAACTGTTTTGTAAAACAATAGGAAGCCACAAGGGAATCTAAAGAAACCAAAAAAAAGTAATGTCTGATGGACTGAAGGCAAAATGTCCCATTAGGAAGCTGTGACAATCTTGGACTGAATTAGCAAGAAGATGGAGAGAAGTGGTTTTTCTATAAAATAGAATACTACTCAGCCACAAGGAATGAGAAATTAGAGTCATTCATAGAAAAATGGATGCATATTGAGGATGTACTCCTAAGTGAAATAAATAAATCACATGTGTAAATACCAAATAGTTTCTCTGGTGTGAAAAACTATAATAGTACACAAGATCCTAATGAGATAATTGACAATGTGAAATAGGAAGAAAAGGGCTAAAGGTGTAGGAGAAGTGGGAAGGATAGGGGAAAGAAAATAAGGGAAAAGAAAAAAATATGAGAAAATGAAAAAGTGGAAATGGAAATAAAATATTTGTAAATAGGGAAGGAAGGAGGAGATGAAGGGAGGGCAGGGGTAAGGGGAAAAATGAGAACCAAGACCTGTCATGTAAAGGTACAAGATCCCAAGGATGAATGTAACTGTACTGTATACCTAAAATGTACCAATGAGGAAAAAAAAAAAGATGGAGGAAGCATAATTTTGAGATTTTTGGAAGTGGAATCCATAGGCTTTGGTGATGGGTAGATGAAAGCAAGGAAAGAAGAGTTGTGAATGATTCCAAGGTTTGGCAGGAGCCACTGCTATGCTGTTAATTAAGATGAGGGATTGTGGGTGGCAGTAGTGAAGGTTATCATTGTAGCCAGCTCTGTTTGAGATGCCCAAGAAACAGCAATGGAAAAGTTGAGTATGACAAGTTTTTTTTTTTTTGGTACTGGGGATTGAACTCGGGTCTTTGCGCTTGCAAGGCAGGCCACCGAACCGCTGAGCTAAATCCCTGGCCCAAGTATGACAAGTTTTGAATTTTGAGGAGAAGGCAGGCCACAGGGGACCTGTAAAACGCACCATAGTCATGAGTCCTGTGATAAAGAGGAACCAGGGGCCAGAACCAGTGCTGGGAAGGGCTATCACATTCTGGTGTATGTAAAGAAAAAGCAACAATTAGATTCATTCATAGGAAAATGGATACATATTGAGGATATACTACTAAGTCAAATAAATAAGTTGCACATGTGTAAATACCGAATAGTTTCTCTGGCATGAAAAACTATAATAGTACATAAGATCCTAATGAGATAACTGACAATGTGAAATAGGAAGAAAGGGGCTAAAGGTGTAGGAAAAGTGGGAAGGGTAGGGGCAAGGTAATAAGGGAAAAGAAAAAAATATGAGAAAATGAACAAATGGAAATAAAGTGTTTGTAAATGGGGAGGAGTGGAGGGGGTAAAGGGAGGGCAGGGACAAGGGGGAAAAATGAGAACCAAGACCTGTCATGTAAAGGTACAAGATCCCAATAATGAATGTAACTGTATTGTATACCTAGAATGTACCAATAAACTTAATTTAAAAAAAAATATATATATATAAAGAAAAAGCAACAGCCTGAAAATAAGACTGAAAATGGAGAATTGAGGCCAGTTTTGGGAGATGGGGCAGGGGAATCGAAGTAGGAAGTTTATGCCAAGAAAAAAAAAGAAGAAAAGAAGGAAAGAGAGAGAGGGAGAGAGAGAGAAAGAGAGGGAAAGTGTGTGTTGGCTACATAGGAGGCCAGGATTCCGAGTTGCTGTTCATTTCCTTAAAATGACATGGGTATATTTCTTTATCTACAGGAATTCAAGCTACAATGGCAGCCAAGTACCATGGTGAGAGTTCTTACCTCGGTAAGGCAGGGTCCAGCACAGTGAGAGGTGGCCAGCATGACTAAGCTGCAGGCGAGGAGATGTGCTGCTGGCGAGGAGATCTCCAGTGCTGACAGATAATCCCCAGCTGAGCAAGATGAAGACAATCAAGCCCTGTTCCCATTCCTCTGTTTACGCTGCTCTTTTGCTTCTCTTGACCCTCTGCACTTTCTTTCTGATGTGACCACATCAGCTAAAAGGGAGAGAGAGAAAGTTAAAATGGCCTCTGATTGATCCAGGGCTCAGCCATTTCTTAGTTTCAGCTTCCTGCAACACGAATACAGGAAGATAGCTGGTTGTGGCTTCTCTGGATGCTTTCCTACCCCTCTCTTCAGTCTGAAAAAGGATTGGACAGGAGGAAAGAGGGAGTCATTGAGCCCTCAGCCTGGTTCTTATTCTCCCTGTTCCTGGTGGCCTCACTATAACCAACAAATTAAACAAGGGGATGCATTTAGTTCATCACATAATCCCCCATTATTCCTGTACTAATGAAGACAGAATATGTCAGTTGAACCTCAGCAAACTATCTCACAGCGGAGTAGCTTCAAACATCAATCATGTATAGCTCCAGACCCTATGGGTCAGCAGGGCAGTTCTTGGATCTGACATCTAAATCCACATCTAAAAGAGGCACACATACAAGGATGGGTATGATTTGGGGGCTGCGTTTGCAATCTACATGGTGGACTGTCATCCACACACTGTCAACACTGGCAAACTGTGGCATTATTAGAACTGCCATAATAAGCCAGGATACCTTTTCATTTCACCTGCTGTGAATTTCCTACTCCCCTTTCCTATGGCCAACTAACCACTGCCCTCAGGAGATCCTTTAGCCTTCCACTGTGATGTTGACTAAATGATAATGCAAACTCCCACTTGCACTTGTTCTTAGTGACCTTAGCCTTCTTATGGCCAGTATTCTCAATATTAGAACTTTAAGGAAAAAAATCTTGGACTTCTGGTTCTCAAATATGAGAAATTCTGACTTAGGATAGTGAGTGGTTGTTAACTCTCCTCCCCAGGCCCTTAATAGGAAGAAGAAAGGTTACATTTTGAATATAAATTGGGAAAATAAATCTCCCACTGAAGATGTGCTGAAGTCAGTTGTAATACTGCCTACATCATCTTCTTGAAGCAACTGCTATCAGCAGCTTATAGTTCTTTTCTGAAACCTTTTTATTTCCTCTTCTGTGGGGTATGAAGCTATAGAAGGTCAGAGTGATGAGTGCAAGGGAATCCTGAGAAGAGAGTGAAGACAGGAGATCAGGAGACAGGCTGCTTGCCCAATTACTGCAAGATGGCCTTTAGGCCAGAGGCACTACAGATCTTGTGAATGCAGTGATGGTGAGAAGCCTACAACCGGCAACAGGGAAGGGCATGGGGTGGGGGCATTCTGCATGGGACACTGTTGGAAGTAGACTCTAATGCTGTGGCTGTGATTTCCTTCATGTTCCAGGGCCTGGAAACCAAGATGACAGAAATTCTCAACTGAGAATTGTCTTAGTGGGCAAAACTGGGGCAGGAAAAAGTGCAACAGGCAATAGCATCCTTGGAGAGAAAGTATTTCTTTCTGGCACTGCAGCAAAGTCCATTACCAGGATCTGTCAGAAAGGGAGCAGCACATGGAATGAAAAAAACATTGTTGTTGTTGACACACCTGGTATTTTTGACACTGAGGCACAGGATGCCGACACACGCAAGGAGATTGCCCACTGTGTTCTCCTGACCTCTCCGGGGCCTCATGCTCTAGTCCTGGTGGTCCCACTTGGCCGTTACACTGAGGAAGAGAGCAAGGCCACAGAGAAGATCCTGAGTATGTTTGGACCCAGGGCCAGAAGATTCATGATTCTCTTATTCACTAGGAAAGATGATCTGGAGGGCACAGATTTCTGTGAGTACTTAAGGTATGCTCCAGAGCACATCCAAAAGCTGATAGGCAACTTTGGTGATCACTGCTGTGCATTCAACAACAAAGCAACAGGAGCTGAGCAGGAGGCCCAGAGAAACCAGCTGCTCATCCTGGTCCAGCGCATTGTGAGGAAGAATGGTGGAGAATGCTACACCAATCAGTTGTACCAGAGGGCTGAGGAGGAGATTCAGAAACAAATCCAGTGTGTACAAAAAAATTACAGAGCAGAGCTGGAGAGAGAGAAAGCACAGCTAAGAGAGGAGTACGAAGAGAAGATCAGAAAGCTGGAAGACAAGTTGGAACAGGAAAGGAGAAAGGCCCATATGGAGAAGGAAATAACAAAAAGAGAGACTTTCTGTACTTTGAGGCAGCAAGGTGCCAGAATGGAAGTTGAGAATCAGACTTCAATACTTGAATTAATCATTAAAACATGGGACATTTTTTTCCTTTTCTTTTCTCTGTTTAAAGATTAAATCTGATGAAAATTTGTCTGTATTTTCTGCATGCTTTTAGATGAATCTGTCTCATAGAACTCATTTACCAAAGGCCAAGTGCTCTAGTTTGTTTTTCAAGGCTTTCATGACTAAGCAGTATAATAACTGGCCTTCTTGGCCAGTTTGTTTGATTTAGCAAGAAGACACATTCTCAGTTTTCAAAGCAGAAAGTATTGATGCTAGATACTTGCGAATTTTTTTTGAGAGACACAGAAAACGGAATGTAGAATTCCCACGAACATGACCCCAAGCTTTATTTAGTAGTTCCCTGTAAAAGTTTCTCATCTAGATTGTTAAATACTGGATTGGTAAATACTGTCTGCTTTTTACTTCTACTCACATATCTTTGTCTTTAGGATAACAGTGATCATTTTAAGCCACAGGGTTTTGTTAGAAAGCTCCATTCTTTCTTTGTAGTAGGTAATCTTATAGAAGGACACAGTTGTAGAATTCTTCATTTGTTTACTTACATTTTCATAGAAGGACTGAAATTGTTCCTTGCATTATCCGCTCTTTGAGGAATAGACATGTCTGGAGAACATATCTCCCAGAACTCAACTTAGTAGTAATCCCCAACAGCCAGAATGAAAGCAATGTCACAGGTGAGAGAGCAATATAGGATATAATTAGGTGTGTTCAGTCTCAGTTTACCAATCTGAAGAATAAGCAGTTCTTTCCTTTTCTTGAAAAACAAACTGTTGCCACCCCACTCTATCACCCCACAATTTTAGTACTTACACACATCCAAACGCTTTTGCCCTTGCTCCAACACATAATTTGTGGTTATTAAAATAAAACTTTTCAGTTTGCTTATCTTTGTGCAGAATTATATTATATTTTGTTTTGGAAGATACTACTACTACTTCTAATAATTCAGAGATGAATTTCACTTTTGGGTAAAAGCTCAAGACAATTTTGGTAGGACCATTTAGCTCAGTGGTTCTGCCGCCTTCCTTGCAAGCTCAAGAACCCAAGTTCGATCTCCGGTACCAAAAATAAAACAAAGCAAGACAATTTTGGAACTAAATTGTTTTTTTTTTCCTATATTTCCTCTTCTCCTGTCCCTGAAGATTTGAACCACATTCTCAACTTTCCCAAATGGCAAAGCTATAGTTCTCTTTTTTCTTCATGATGTGCTGAAGAAATTTGTGTGTAACTCAGAATTCTGAGACCTGTGCAACTTTCTTAGCATAAAATCCCCTTTAATATAGAGATAATGAGAGTTGAAGTCCTTATTTATTTTCTTTCTTTCTGCTGGGTTCCCTTCTCCTCGAAATTTCTAGGAATCTCAAACCATTTTCCCATATTTTACCAACATATTATGGTGGCCACAAACCCAATTCTCTTTGCTCTACCATCTTGAAATTGGCTACTTCATGACTTCACCCCACCCCCATAGGGCATATGTCTCTCCATTGTTTTCCCTAAGCACAAGTGAGTTTGGACATTTAACTAACTTAGCAAAGATCCTATGGCTATGGTAAAAGAAGAACCATGCCAGATTCCTTCAGCAATGGTTGCTCAGAAGAATATAATGTGTGTCTCACCCTGAAAAGTGTGGACATCTTTTGGGTCTATTATTTTCATCATTGGAGTCATGGTCAAAATTCTAAGACATGGACATCCTACTGTATGTTCAACCTTCTGCAAACAAATATTTGAACAAAAAGCCACATACACCTCCCAAGGAGAAATAAATATATGTCTAATATGAAAATAAATGTTTAACTGTTATGATCATATTTTATGTAATTACACTCAATTGTTCTTACCCTTATGCTCAGGGAAATACTGTAGATGAGGCAAATAAAAAGGTTCTTTCCCTTAGAAGCATCCATAAATGAGAAGCACATGTAGAAAATCCTGGGAGAGGGTTGACCCTTTGCCTCCCAGAGGAGAAGGCAGACAGCCGGTCCTTGAAAAGTCCTGTGAGAGGAGAATGGAGCATATTCCCTCTTATTAAGAGTTTTGGGATTTTATGCCTAGTGCATCATTCAATAACATTTATTTATTGTTGGGAGCATTTTTACATAAAAATCACTTCATAATTAAATTATGACTACAGCTGTCTAAGGCCCAATTTTGCCTTGCCTGAGAGCAAGCTATGGCATGTGGGAACATAACTCCTTTTTGCCTCTGGTCACAACTGAGGCCTCAATGGTCTGTGGAGCCATGAGGCATGATGACACCAACTGTAGACATCTTGGTACCTTGAGAACCCAGTAGTAATACAAAAGAGAGAGGTTTCACCTGAGAAGGGATGAGTTCCTTATCTCAGTTCATCCCACCTGCTGAGGTGGGATTGCTTTCCTTTCCACCCTCTTGAGCATGAGATTTGCATTGGCACAGGATCAGACATAGGATCACTGTCACCACCACCACTCCTCCTCACCCCATACTCCCGTCAGTTATTGTGGGTACCCAATAAACAGTGACTAGCTCAGAGAATCTTGGCCCTTGCCTACTCTGAGGCATTGACCTCCCAGATCCCATATATTTTGAAACTACGCAAGTCTCTATTGTCTCTTTTTTCTTTGGCCCTCACCACCCCCCTTTCTAGGCAGTCAGAGAAAATCAGCCTCCAATAACTTATTGTCTGTATTTCATGGTAGTTTTAGACTAGACAGTGAGAAGCTAGAGAAAAGTAACGCAAAGTCCATTTTGAGACTGGTTTCATTCATTTCAGTGTAACCAGTTCTCTCCCTGTGGGTTCTTGTCCTAGGTTGATAAGGAATGAAGCTGACAGGACCATAATGCAGAACAACCAGGTGTGGTTTTTAGGGGGAAAGGTTTTGTTACCAGAGCAATTTCCTTCTCTTTGCTTCCTGTCTGCTATGAGTTGAGCAGGTTTGCTCTTCATCCTCTCCTCACTACAATGTCCTGCTTGCCAAAGGATCCGAGCAATAGTGAAGTTAAACCTCTGAAACTCTGGGCACCCCCGCAAAAAAGTCTTTCTTCTTTTCAGGAAGTTTTCTCAGTTATATCTTCACAGTGACAGCTGATTAACACATATATCCACAGTCATTCCCTTTATTAATGAGCAGTGTTCTATCCTATAGATGGTCCAAGGTTTATCACTTCCTTTCCATTTATCTTTATCTACTTGATTTCTCTTCTCTGAGTGCATTGACTGACACCTCTATTAAAATGATGAATGGTTGGTATACTTGCCTTGTCCGGGCAATTCCTTCAATATTTTCCAACTAAGTAAGTTACTAGACTACAGTAGTATATACTGGAGTGCTTTTTGTCATCTTAAAATGGAAGTTCAAATCTTCAATTGTAGAACTTTTATTTTTTTCCTACATAAGGCTATAAAGTTATGAAATTTCTCTCTATGACATTTGTCCATGTTTTTAGTGTGAGACGTAGTAAAAAAATCATTATTTCATTTATGAAAAGTTTTGATGGAAAACTGCAGAAAAGTCTAAATAATTAAATTTTTACAAAACCTAATATGGAAGACATTTCATTAAGTCACCAAACAGTTGCCCACAAAAAACAAATCATTTTTAATGACACTAAAGATTAACTGATTTAAAATTGTAAAACAGACAAATACGTACTATTCTTCATGTTACATGAGAAGTGGAAGCAATTCAGGGTGAAAATTTCACAAGTTGTCTCCTTTTCAGGAAAGACAAAACTCCAAGCATGTTTTGTCTTTGGCCAGCATATCCAATTCATGGATCACCTTTTTAATTTTGGCCCTCATTTTAAAAATATTATAATAAATATTTTAAAAGATATGTATGTGTATATATATATATATATCTCCTGAGAAAATTCCTTTTCTGTACAAAAACAAACCAAACAAAACAAAAAACTGAAACAAAACAAAAACAAAAAAGCGAAGGTGAGCCATAGTTTGGACCTGGCCATGACTGAAAACATTTCTATATTTATGAAAAGATGTAAATTTGGAGCTAAAATGCCAATTTAATGGTATATATTTTAAAATTTTCTAGTTTTAGACAACTCTTGATTTATTTTATGCATCATTGCTGGCAAACAGTGGATTGAAAATGGCCAGGCAACATGTGCAACTCTTGCTACTTTGAGATAATGGTTATATAACTCAAGTCATGCAAGTGAATTATAATACTACAGCAAATCACTGTCACAGTGGAATGTCAGCTGGGGAATCACAAGTGTCATGTACTAAAAATAAATGAAATGATTTGGGGAACTAGCTGCATTATGGTTTTTAAAAATATTAGTACACATCTGCAGTACCTAATGATTACATTTATTTGTGGAATTGGTTTGTGTACATAACACATTTTAATTTTTTTGTTCACATCCCTCCATGTTTCCATTAAAAACATTTCTTTATGTAAGAGAATGAAAAGATGAAAATAAAGTGTTTGTAGATGGGGAGGGGAGGAGGGGGTGAAGGGAGGGCAGAGGTAAAGGGAAAAAATGAGAATCAAGACTTGTCATGTAGAGGTACAAGATCCTAACAATGAATATAACTGTACCGTATCCCTAAAATGTACCAATAAACTCAATTAAAGCTGAAAAAAAAACCAAGAAAAAAAACCCCTATTTCTTTATTTAATTGAAAGCATTTTATGAGTATGCTAGAAGATTTAAAACCTTACCTTATTTTTGATTGAACAGTGAAAATATTAATATTAGCTTCTAAATAGCCTGTGATGTTTTATCTAAATAATAAACTTTATTTAAATATTTGAAAGCAAAACTCCTGAAGGACACTTCAAATATCATATTGTCAATAATAAATATTAATCTGTATTTTTAGGAACTTTTCAGGACACTAGAAAGGAATATATAGGATCACTATCATCATACTCCAAGAGTCACAAAATAACTGGGACAGTCACAAGCAAACAAAGGATGTTATTTGTGTGAAACTAATGCAATAATTTAGTTCAGTAAAACTGCAAGGAGTAAATTCAGTTAATACATATTGGGTAGACTGTTGGGTTCTGAGTAGGGCAACTACTCAATTTAAT